CCTTTGCTGCCTCCTCGTAGCATTCATTGGTATTTGGCCATCTATCACTGCTCGACGGTGGTTGTTCGCGGAGCTGTTGATGCTGAGTGAGGTATACCGCTTTTTCCTTCAAAGCTACACCACGGTGGTACTTTGCCAAGCGGCGTTGCGCATCGGTGACGCCCTCCCACCTCAACGCAGCATCGGCACAGACAATTGAGTTGTCGAGAAAATACCCCTCGGTGTGCCCGAATATCCTTCCGTTCACTAGCCGCTTATTTACCAGGCTATCCATAGCCTCAGCACAGCTACTACTGATGTTTATTTCAACCGACATCAAGGGCTTGTATTCAGGTCCGCCGTAGGGCGAGCTGGGACTATCGGAGTCGTTTAGTCAGTACTGGCCGAACGCATCCTTGCCTTGCCAGTAGCAGAGCATCGCCTCAAGATAGTTGCCTTCGTCCACGAATCGATCACTGTCCTTCTTCCAGCTGAGCAACACGCAGATGATTTCTCGACCGGAGGCAGTAGGGGCTACCATGACTTTGACCATGGCCTTGATTTTGTTAACTCCCATAACGGTTATCATTAACACTCGCCTGGCCCAACGTATGGCGCTCAGCGGGTTGATTACCACCTGCATAAGGTATCCAAAGATGTTGGGGTTCAACCTAATGTAAGCTTGTTGTGACACATACTGGAACGATTCCGAGTCCTGAGATACCTTAGGGTTACGCTGAATTCTAAAGGATTTATGTTCGTCCACCTTCGCTGCCAATATGTTCATGAAAGGTCCGTAGTACTTGCGGTGGAACGCAAAGATGAAGGGATTGACCTTGACGGCACAGTCTGGCGGCTCCTCTGTGCCGCACGTTTTGCCCAGCCAGAGGTTGACCACCGAAGCAGATCGGGTACGCTCGGCTTCTACCGCCGAGAAATAGTCAGAGTATGATTGGGATCGCAGCGGATCACTCGCACTAAGGTTTGCTAGCATAGGCTTCATGACTTCACGTCGCTTATTGACGACAGCATTCGGAATCCCGATGTTTGTTTAGATCACCGCATCCCAGGCTTCTGAGCGGAGCTGTTGGTTGACACGGAGTAAAACCAGACCGCCAATATTCTTCTCCCAACGGACGTGGTTGATTACGGTCTCGAAGCTGAGACAGATAGTGAGGAAAATCTCGAGGATCTTATCGTGGACCTTGTTCTACGTAGGGACTAGTTGTGGCTCTGTCAAAGACATCGCGGAAGTAGAGAGGGGACCAAATCTATCAAACCGGGATTGATATTCATATTCAAAAAGCTCTGGTACTCAGCCTCTGGTGATAACTTAGGGTTATGCCTATCAAAGAAGTCTAGCGAAAAGCCCCCGTTCAGAGTCCCTTTGAAGAGATGCGGTACAGCAAGCACGTTGTCACGGTGGCTTTAGCAATGAAAGTCTCAATGGCATAGCGACCTTGAACTTCGTTCTAGAAATTAGGAAAGAGCTCGATTGCTGGCCTCAAGAGGGAGTTCAAGCAGTGTTGATGGTGAGCCGTACCCTGCTTTCGACTTCTCAATGGCAAGTGTAACCATAGAAGCTGCCAGTGCCAATTTGTCTATGACAATCGGATCAGAAACAAGCACTTTCAGGGGATTCATGGTGTATACAGCGGCTGCGGCGCCCTGATAAGTTTCCTAACAAACCTAAACGATCGCCGAAACTGTGACGTAGAGCAAATAATCTATAGGGGCAAGGAATCTCATATGTGGAAGTAACAAGTACCTGTCATCTCTTTCCAGAATATTCGCAGGTAGGAGATGCGATCGATGTCCAATGTATCGACGGCCGCTCTCGAGGCGATACAGGAATATGGACGGTAGCTACCTTTCTTCGCAGAAATAAATCTCCATGACATAAGGTTGAATAGTCAATAGACAAATCTACGGTGCGGACGTTAGGACGGCCAAACGTCTTTGAACTGTTGCCTGGCGTTGATTTCGTTTGTACGACTGTGCTTCAATTGGGTTCTTTGATGCATCTAATCACTATCCGGGACTGATTCAATGGGTGTTCGGATTGAAAGCCTCCTAGGAAGTACTCTAAGTACCCTCCCTCCCTTACTTATTCAGCGGTCGACTCATACCATAGGCCTATCAGCTTCATTGAGAATTATCCAGCACACCCAATTCACAAAACTCATCTTTCGAAGGTTGGTTGTAATATCCGTAGAACAGCCCGATTATTCCAAAAGGTTCTCTCAGAATAGATGCAAATATCTCCTTGGGTTATCCGTAATGGGAGGACCTCTGCAGAATAACAAGATACCAACATAGAAAAGACATTAATTCTAGCAGTCATGACGTATATGTGCCAAGACGGGATCTGACATTTGGTTCCATGGGACATGGTGTTTTGCATAAGGAACCAGGTATTCGTTGTGACATTCCGGATAGCGTTCCAATCAATGGCTGGTGGTCGACATTTACAACCAATGTGATAAGACCAAGCTCTCATCACAAACCTGCAGCCGACGGACCAAATCGCCCAATCATGGCTGCTAAAATTGGACCCCAGTCATCTGAGATTATGACGTCGCTTGAAGCTGTTGCCATGACGTCGTGGGTACACATATAGGCCCACAAAAATGCCAAGGCATGCCAAGTATGGAATACTGCTCCTATAACTATATATCCTCAAGTCTTGGTACTTGAAGTCCGCTCTTCTAAATCTCATATGTCCAGACGAACGCGGAACCCGAAAGTCACAAATCACAACATCTTCTATCGAATTACATAACCACACCATGTCTGACCTCATCAATGACGCTGAGAATGTTGCTGAGAACAAGCTCGGTCAAGACTCCAAACCAGGTGATGGAGTTGAGAGTCAAGCTGATAATAGCGTAAATCAAGGTAAGTAAACCTAGGAGAGAAGCTTAGGAAGGTCTGAATTCTTTGAGTGGAATGCTTATCATAGATACAGGAGTTGACCAAGCTGCATCCGATTTTGGTGTGCCTAAGCAAGATGATGGAGTGCTCAATGAGGCTGTCGATTCAAAGGTCAATTCTGACATCCCTGGTGGCAACAACTAGGTGTAGAGCACATGATTATCTCTACGGTATATGCTAGGACAGGAAGCCAAATGTGATCGTCCCTTCAAGTTATATAAAGAGTACAAATACGTACACACATTACTCAATGCTGCAATTGTATTGATTCTACATAGCGCCCGGTTGCCCCATGAGTCAAAAGTGCAATCTCAGATAGTCGCAAGACGAGATATCTGTACACAGGATTGTAGACCACGCATAGCTAAAACCTCATTTGGTGTCCATCAGTGTCTACCCACCTGCAATCCGAGGCAACATCCACGCGGGCTTGCTCTTCTGATGGCGAACAATTCTTAAGTCATCATCGCCAATGTTGTAGCCATAGTGGAATGCTATCCATCCGTTGCCACGGCGGAAGCAAGTGCGATTTCGGACACGCATCAGATACTTGATTGAAGGACGGCCATTGGTAGGTAGCCTATCCTTGGAAATCAAGAATCGCGGCATGGGATAATGCTACTTGCCAGTCTTGCTGGTCTCAGTGACGAAGATATCGAGAATTTTTGCCACGTAGGACATGCAGGATTCGTAAGCTTCCAAAAGGATACAAGAGGACTTGCAGGACATTAGCAGGCACTTGCTAAAAGGACGAACTGCTCGTCTTATCAGATACAGCGAGTGAAGCAAATTTACAGGAAAGGAAGAAAACCTGCTATCTCCTACGTAGGCCAAGCACTGAGCTTGGAATAATATATAAGCAATGTGCTGAAATGCTGAAAGCTCATGGCGGTCCGGATGGTCAGCTCAGAATTACGGGTTTTGAGCAGAGTGTCTTGGAGTTCAACGCATGAGGCCAGATGGTACTTCAGTTAACTTAGACGTAGTTAAACGACTAGTCATATATAACGAAAGGGTGGCTACTACTATGTAGTCGAGCTCACGAGGCTGCAGAAAGCTAACATTAATGAGTATCTGGGCGGCTTATACATATAGGAATGTGTAGCCTCTACGATCAGGAATCCAAGCGTCTGGATGCGTAAAGCAACCTGACATGTTGTCGAAACAAACAGGGAGCTCGCTATCGTTCAAGTCGAAGGAATGGGAGGCCTGCACAGGCAGCTGAAGTAATGGAGGCACACCCAACAGGTAGCAGGATCGTCGTAGGGAACGTGTGCTAATGCCTACCCAGAAAGTTCATTAATCTGGCTGCCGACCCGTTCTACACCACGGGCGAAGCCGCTGTGAGTAGACGGCTAGCCGTACTCAAGAGACCCAGGTCGACACCGCCGAGGCCGCACCATACTATTATGCGACATACTTAGTGAACTTCGATGGCTAGATAGCTAGAGCGTGACTCATATCATGCAGCGCGGGCTAGTTTATACCAATCACCCAGCGATGGATGCTAGGTGGTGGCCCTGAAGCAGCCAACCTTCCATGATCATTGGGATGAGACTCCAAATACCCGCTCGACTTTTCTAGCTCAAAGCCGGTAGACAGACATAAGTATCGAAATTGAAGGCCAATGTAACGGGTGGCGGTGTTGTGCAAATACTGCTCTGCTTATAAGGCACACGCAGCGGAAGCAGTGGAAAACCTAAACAGCAGACACGTCCGAATTCGACAACTTTCAAGTCCACGTTGAGTAGCAGTTCCATTACTTGCTGTTTTGAGATACTCAATAAAGCGGGGACGGGTCGACCCGGACGGTGGACATTTGCAGAGCTGAGGATCTATACTGCGACAGTTGTCAAATCAAAGAACTTCCTTCTTTCGTGGGTCACTCGTAACAGCGCAACGTATTCACCGCCACGGGCCGTTATTCGGAGCTTCAGCCTGCCCGAAATGGTATCCACATGTTACATCATTCCAACCAACACCGAATGCCCGTCCCTTACGATTTGTTCATGGAGAATCTTCGGTTAAGCATATTATCATCATGTGTATAGTTCATATACTACATTGTTACACCATCTCTCAAAAGTGCCCGGCTAGCTCAATTGGTTAGAGCGTGTGACTTTTATCGAGAATTTCTCTATATGTAGATATCCCAAGGTTGTGAGTTCGACTCTCACGTCGGGCGGGTTTTTTTTTTCAACGTTATTTCTTGGATTACTTTTGCTACCATGTATATATAGTCAGTCCTATTCACGATTACTCAAAAGTCTACGGAATGCGGCGGGCCGGACCCATTTCCAGCGAGTTGAGTGCCAGCTCCAAATCAGGTTACTTTACGATGGGTCGAAAACCATACATACATATATACATACATACACACATCACCTCCTTACGGTAGAAAATGGTCTGTTAAGTTGTAAGAGACCACAACACTTGCGTTGGTGGTGCCATGGGTCTGGACAAGTGACTGAGACAGGGCCCCCATAGACGAAGACCTGATTGTGTCAGAGAGAGAGAGACAACCGCAAAGCAACGACGTCGATTGACGCCGGAACTCGTTCGAGTCTACGCTGTCGAGTCGCCCTTCTCAAAGATATCTAGCGGGGTTGCACCGGCAAGTGCCTGATTTCCAGCTAGGTTCAGTAAAATGCTCACCTCTGCTATATTGACCGGTCCAGTTGACTGCATCACAACTGTTCGCCAATATGCATTCATTCGCTTGCTGCTTTGTTGTATCGCGTGCTGGGTTGCTGTAGCTCTGCCCACTGTCGCTAAACGGAGTGATCGTCACAGCGAAGACGAGCATCCCAGCTGTGTGTGCATCAGACGCGATCTGTTTAGAGCTCGAGATAATTGGACGCCGATGCGTTATTGGGTAGCTGAGTCAGTTGAGGCGCCGCCGATGTTGTCTACGCTTTCAAAGGTGAGTACGCACTCGACGCCGGCCGTTTGCAAAAGGTCTCGCTTATAGCTGCATTAAGAGCGGACTAAATGCACCATTGAGAATGGTGTTGCCGCCCGGTGATGGGACGGTCATACCGCTGAACACATGCAGGGTCTGATGCAAGGAGGGCCCCTTTAACTGCCTTGCTGTCACGGAGTCAGACATCTGCCATGGCACTAGTTGGGCGTCACGTATGAAGGGGGGGGGGGGGGGGGAGGAGGAAGATTGCTTTGCTCCACCAGCTATGGCATAGAAGTCCAGCTTGTCTACCCAGTGAGAATTGACAGCTTGTCTTTCTTCTAGGGATTGCACGTCGGTAGGCATTGCAGGAGTAACAGCTTGCAGTGCAGAGAAGCCGGGGAACCCCAAAGATGAGACTTCTCGGCTTGGAAATGGAGAACGACATTTCGAAACCCATGCAAGTGCAATGAGTCGCCAAGACAGAAGACAAAGCCAAACCATATCGAACAGCATTCGATCCTTTACCTTGGAATCGTCATCGGTTGTGCGTGGCGGATAGAGAGCCTCCGCGGCTTCGATTACCACGTATGGATCAAGGAGCATCTAGCCTCAGATGCTTCCGTGTCAAATAGCTGTGAAAAATCTCCACAGGAATGGTCCAGCAGAGCTGGGGAAGGCGATCATTGGAACAACTCATCCGCAGCAATTAGTACGTACAGGATCTAGGCGATGACGACGGATCGTTTATCGTGCAAATCATTGGCGGATGAGGTCCCGAGGGAAAAAGACATTCCCAGGTACCTACTTAAGTAGGTTGAGCTTCCCCAGACTTTGCCAGACTTCGCAAACCGGAACTACGGCAAGATGCATACCTACTTTAAGAACTTAAGCTTGAAACCCCTGAAGTGCTACCCATACCTTGAATAGTCTACCTAAAACTACCTAGCTGTCCTTTGGCAATTGACACGTAGAACCTGAACCATCAAGACCGACCGCAAGATGGGGACTAGCCTAACGAACTTCAAAAAGAGGTTCTCCGAGGCCGGCGAGTTTCCGTCCGTAGGTACATAGTACTTGGTATTGCATAGCAAGGCGGTAAGAGTGGCAGAAACGAACCACGCTCAGGCCTACGCCCACGCCCGCGCCGAGTAAATGGGGGACGAAGGTGGCATGAAAAATGAACCAGTACCTTAGTTAGGTAAGTACCTGCCTAACCGTAATCTGGACCTCAGTGTATAATAACTTACCTACCTACCTAAAGTACCTACATACTACGTACATAGTAAGTACCTACTTGAGGTACATGCTAGGTTTACTCACTACCTGAGTTAGGTACGTAGATATATAGGTATGCAGGAGAATACTGTGGTACTAATCTGCTGGCCTCTATTGGCAGGACTGGCAGCTGCGGGCCAAGCTGTCCCCGGCACCCCTCCTTCTTGGCCAATTCGAGACTCTGCATATTGACCTTACATGATTGAGGGGCAGGAATTTTTTTTTAGGTCTGTCTTGCCTGGGGAGTGTTTACTGCATAGGTACTGACACCTACCTACAGTACCTACCTACGTTGCGAAAGCCGGAGACAGCTCTACCTATTGGAGTTCTTCCTCCTCAATTGATTCGAAACTCGGGACTCCTCAGTGAGACTTGAGAGCATAGGCTGACATTGCATTCCACAGTCACGTCGTTCACGAATTATTGATTAGGTGAATCAGCTGGTGACGGTGCAGCTCCAAACATCACCAAGGAACGGAGCTGAATAGTAAGAAGACTGGTCATCCCACTTCTTAAAAGCACCAAATTCGTCTGAGTCATATCACGACTCTTGAAGACTTCCCTACCTCAAATTGGTGCCCTGAGCTCGTTTCTGAACATTTACACAGTTCATTCCATTGCTACCACCAACCTTCTCCTCCCTCCCAAACGCAACATTGGTGTTCGACCGAACCAAGTATCTGTCCCATTTCGCCCGTCTTCTCGCTTTCATATACTTAACGCCAACCAAGTGCTTTGGCACGTCGCCTCGTCTTCCGTATCCTGAAGACTCCGTCTATTCACTTTCCCCTAAGCTCCGATCCTATCAAAGATCACCGCAAACCGCCAAAATGCCGGGAATTGACGTGGCAGCCCAACAGGTGGATGACATGAGAGGTATGTGTCACAGCTGCTGGAATTCTTTGCTCGGGTTCTCGATCTGCTTGTACCATGTCCTCAGTTGTGATGTACGACCAATATCCCTGAGATCTCTCTTGACCGTCAGAACCTACTCACTTGGATATTCAACATTGCCATTGAAAATCGACTACACTTTTGCTTTGTACATTTGCTTACAACTCATCCGAGTAATCCCAATTCGTTCGGCTTGCCTGCCAATATGCTAACCGCTGGTGATCGGCTAGTCCTGGGCCAGGATCCTCTGATCCCGCCTGCTCTTCTCATGTCGGAAATACCCATGACCGAATCTGCCCTCCAGACTGTAATCAAGGGTCGCCGCGAAGCTGCCGCTATCGTTATGGGTCGCGATGATAGATTACTCGTCGTCGTTGGGCCATGCTCAATCCACGACCCTGCAATGGCACACGAGTACTGCGCACTTTTAAAGGAGCTTTCCGATAAGCTGGCTGATGACCTCTGTATCATCATGCGTGCCTACCTTGAAAAGCCGCGGACAACAGTTGGATGGAAGGGCTTGATCAACGATCCCGACATTGACGAGACTTATAAGATCAACAAGGGTCTGCGTTTATCAAGGCAGATGTTCTGCGATCTGACCGATCGCGGCATGCCGATTGCCAGTGAGATGCTGGATACTATCTCGCCACAATTCCTAGCAGATTTCATCTCCGTCGGCGCAATTGGTGCGAGAACGACAGAATCTCAACTTCACCGAGAGCTTGCTTCTGGCCTCTCTTTCCCCATAGGCTTCAAGAACGGCACGGATGGGAATCTGGGGGTGGCCATCGACGCGATTGGTGCGGCGGCTGCTAAGCACCACTTCATGGGTGTAACTAAGGATGGACTAGCTGCCATCACCCGCACGAAGGGCAATGAGCACGGCTTCGTCATTCTGAGAGGCGGTACCAAGGGACCCAATTTCGATGCCGAGAATGTCAAGGCCGCGAGAGACACGTTGATCAAGAAGGGCCAAAAGCTGGCCATCATGGTTGATTGCTCCCATGGTGAGTCATGAACCTCAACTGAAACATGTGCCCGGTCTACTAACATATCTTTAGGCAACTCAAACAAGGACCACCGAAACCAACCGAAGGTCTCCAAGGTCATTGGTGACCAACTCCGAGAAGGCGAGAAGGCGATCATCGGCGTCATGATCGAGTCAAACATCAACGAGGGCAACCAGAAGGTTCCGAAGGAAGGCCCGGCGGCGTTGAAGAAGGGCGTCAGTATCACGGATGCCTGCATTGACTGGCAGAGTACGATCACGGTGCTAGAAGATCTTGCTGAGTCGGTGCGGGCACGCAGAGCGAAGAACGGCTCTGGCCACAGCAATGGGCAAAGCAATGGGCAAAGCAATGGGCAAAGGAATGGGCAAAGGAATGGGCACGGTAATGGTCGTACCAACGGCGACGGTTCTCAAGTTACTGTTCTTGAGGAGAACCTAGGTTAAGGCATAGGGGGTTGTGTTTGGCTGGCGGTGGGGGAAGGATCTCAAAATGCATCAAAGGTCACGAGCCTCCGACCATCTGGGTCGGGGCAATAATATTACGGCGTTCCTGCTTGCAAGATTGCATTATGGCGATAACAAAATCTCTGCCTTTTCGGGATATGCTGTCAGCGCACAATTTCAGGGTGATGCCTCGTATATGTTTCGTATGTTTGCAAACCAGTATGTACAGTTGTATCATCATTCATGAATGCCTTTCCCCATGCATCCATCCGAACCTGAAGCCAGTCACTCCACTCTGCGTATTACTGATCACCGCGCCTCGCCTCCCACCGGCGCATACGCTCCTCTGTCCTGCTGACTAGGCAATCCTATACCCCCAGCAGTAGCAGCCTTCTTTCCCTCCCTCATCTCCACAGCCTTTTTCACTGCTGCCCAACCTAACAATCCCGCGGTCCCAAGGATGAATGCCCAGACGATGATCATGTCCTTCCGACTATCACGTTGGAAACACATCGTCACGACGTCCTTCTCTTCGGCATTCTTGCAGATAGGGAGATTATAGGCCAAGCAGAAGGCTCGCGTGCACTGTGTACAAGACGACGAGGCAGCACGTTTTGATCGAGACGAAGGAGCAGGGTCGGAGGTGAAGGGGTTG